AAATAAATAAAATCTTAAAAAAAAAAAAAAAAAAAAGATTCTCCCTCCCTGTCCTTCTCCTTCTGCCCCTCCCCACAGTGCTCTCCCTTTAAAATAAATCTTTTAAAAAATGTAGTAACAATTTTAATGAATTTTCAAAAAATCATAATAAAGAGAATAAAATTAATAAAAGCACATCTTTACTATGTGCCAGGCACAAGTCTAAGTACTGTATGAATATTAACTTCCTCTTCACCACATCTTTATGAGGCGGGCATCAGTGTGCATCCCCATTTTGTAACAGAAAAGAGGCTCAGAGAGATCAAGAATCTGGGGGATAGGTAGTCAGTACTAAATGGACACAAGGTATTAGGTAGCAAATAGTACAGTACAGGTAAGACCTGAAAATTTTAAAAATTGTCAAATTATTCTTTTATTTTAAAGTAAGCAGTTTAGGTTAACAGGGATACATTTTTATTTTGGAAAGCTATACTTTATTCATTACTTGATCTGACATTTCTGAATGTATCCCTATCCTCTAAATTTAAACGTTTTAAAGAGCATATACTTAAATGCTATTAAGCACTTTAACTATACCACACAGACATGCATTCAGGTGACTCTGGTACAATTAGGATTAGAGACAAGATGATTTATTCAGGGTATTTGTTTAATTAAAAGGCTTAGAAACAAAAGAAATTTCATGTGGGGAGTCTCTATTTATAGTCAGGATTACAAGCGAATATGGGTATTTACATTTGGGCACTTATTACAGCATGGAGGTGATTTTATAAGTGAACAAGGAAATTGGTTAGGACCATTGCCACCCGCCTAGAAGAGTTAAAAATATACCCAAGTCTCACACCACATGCAAAAATAAACTTCAAATATCTAGCTATGGAAAGCCAAATTCTAAATACTTTTGTAAAAAAATATAAGCAAAATGTACTCATAAGAGTAGGCAAAAGTTCTTAAAACAAGACACAAAATACATATGAAAGGATTGATAAATCTGGCTATATTAGATTTAAAACTTCAGTATAGCAAGTACCATAACCAGAATTAAGAATGAAACACAAAATCCTAGGTATGAAATATTTATTAAAAAAAAAAAGGGGGGGTGGCGCCTGGGTGGCTCGGTCATTTAGCGTCTGCCTTCAGCTCAGGTCATGATCCCAGGGTCCTGGGATCGAGCCCTGCATCGGGCTCCCTGCTCCTCGGGAGGCCTGCTTCTCCCTCTGCCTGCTGCTCCCCCTGCTTGTGCTCTCTCTCTCTCTGTGTCAAATAAA